TGGCCTCTGGTTGGTTTTGTCTCCAGAAAACACCAAACTGCTGCTTTTGTTTCCAGATGTGAGAAACAAAAGCACAAATCTGCCGACAGACGGCAGCAGCTGCTCACAAAGGCTCAGCACACCGGCTTTCTACCCTAACCCTAACCTTAACCCTAACCCTAACCCTAACCCGGCAGCAGCTGCTCACAAAGGCTCAGCACACCGGCTTTCTACAGCCTCCAGAAGGGGGGCGGGGGTTACACGGAAACACGCCCCCATCTGCCCCCCCCCCCAGGAGTGGATGACAGCCTCATTCTCCCATAAAAACATCCTGTTCCTGCTGCTCTGAGGCCGTCCCCTGTTTAATGTTGTGGATATTTATACACAACTTCTCACAGTTCTCACGGTTCGACGGATCGGGCCCAAAACCAAAACCAACACGCAAGTCCAACCCAACAGCGGGATGGGTGCTTGTATTTTTATCTCTCATTACTGCTGGCGTTTGGGAATAAACGGCAAAAAAGGGCGAAACTTCGTCCCATAGGAAATTAAGGGGAAGGCCAAAAAGGCCCAAAACAGCCAGGTGGCTCCAACATTTAGGAGCAGATCAGAGGGGAGGGGGCGGGGGGGGTGATCACACACTGGAACATAGTCAGCACACAGAGACATGTCTGTGAGCTCTTATCTGGAACTGATAACCTGCTCAGGGTGGGGCAGACCGGCGCTGGAGGGACCAAAGGTGAGTACACAGGTGAGTCCACAGCTGAGTCCACAGGTGAGAACACAGGTGAGTCCACAGGAGGGAGCGGCAGGAACAGCAGCAGGAGTCGGGCTGAGTTCCAGCGTCTCTTCCTTCTCTGACAGCCAGAACAGGCCCGGCTCGCCTCGCTTCTGCTCCACAAACTACCAACGCTTATTTCAGCCTTTTCTGGGTCAGCTCACTCTGCTCACTTTTTACCCACCCGGACCCCCACACCTGCCGTCTGGTCGCTATCAGCTGTACACGTAAGCTCACACACACACACACACACACACATACACATATATACACACACACACACACACACACACACGCACACACACACACAGATACACAAACACAAACACACACACACACACACACACAGATACACAAACACACACACACAGACAAACACAGATACACAAACACAAACACAGACACACACACAGATACACAAACACACAAACACACAGATACACAAAGACACACACACACAGATACACAAACACACACACACACTAGGGTTGTCACGATACTAACATTTTCAACTCGATACCGATACTCAGGAAAATACTCGATACTCGATACCATTTTCGATACCACAAGGATTAAAAAAAGACCCCAAATTTTAAATGAATTTTGACAGGTTAGTGTCTTTCATTTCAAACTGACCTGTTACTAATGTTATTGTGACTGGTGGCCTGCATTAATAACCCTAACCCTGACCCTAACCCTCCACTCTTCATAATTTTGAGAAATAAATATTTTTGGGTTAAACTTGTTGGGACTTATTGTACAAACCTATTTAACATACACTATTTTAACATAATAATATGCATAGAGTTTAATTAAGTGTTTGAAGGATTAATTTCACAATTAATCACAGATACACAGACAAGGACACACACACACTCACACTGACACACACAGATACACACACACACGGATACACAAACAGACAGACACACACACACAGAAAAACACACACACAGACACACACGCAGACACACACACACTCACACGCACACAGACACACACGCACACAGACACACGCACACAGACACACGCACACACACACACAAAGACACACACACAGACACACACACACACAGAAAACTGCTTCCGCCTGTTTTAGACGCTGCCTTGTGCTGCTCCGTCTAAAATATAAAATGTGATAAATATAAATATTTATTACAATATAATATAAATATAAAATAATCTAAT